GATGGACTGACACAGTTTTACTCAAAAATGTTTACATGATGATATTCTCTATTCATTCCAAGCTAAATAGACCAGCGATTCGTACTTTTTATAATTTCATTTGCTTTCGATTACTGTTGGCGTTACAATATACAATCGAGGTTTCTTTTGTGAAGACATTTTTGATATCCCCTCTCAGTGCTTCTGTTGCTTATCAGCAAATTTGTTTTTAAAATTTCCCGTATATTTTCAGATGGGTTTCGATCTAGTCTGTTCACAGGTCAAACCAGTGTTGTCACGTTGATCCTTTTCAAAAAGATCTGAACTACCACTGACCAGTGGCATAGAGCACCATCATGCATAAATATTATGCACTGTTAAATGCGCATGTGCAGATAGAATTTTTCTTGCAGTAGTTCCACATAAATTGCACCATTGAGTGCAACTGTTCTAGATTTGAACATGGCACCCGAAATTATCTGGCTTGGTGAGGTCATCGTCGTCTGAATTGTATCCTTTTTTTTATAAAATCTGTTATCCGAAGGTCTTCTAATGTTTCTTTTACGCATAACGAACTGTTGCAAAGATTTAATCTGAAAACAACATTGCTGAAATCTTCAGCTGCCGAGGTTTCATGTTACTTAGCAAATCCCAGACGCGTGACTTTCAAAGCTGCAGTTAGCCATAATTTACGACTCGGTGTGAATGATACCAAACCAAGATTAAATCTCGGACGTCCTGAAACTGTCACAGAACAGACATTTGTATTTTATTGCAAGAACCTGTTGGAAATCCTGAAGCAATGCGCTTTATCAAATAGTAATGTCTAACACTATTTACATTATTCGGACTATTGTCCTCATCTTTCTTGCTATATTTATCACAACGTTTCAGCCGTTGTACATTCCGGCCTTCTTCAGGTAGTTGGAATGTCGAACTGAGGTAGACTGGGGTAGACTGTTCTAGTTCCACGTGTCATGTCTAATGGATGTCAGTTATCAGTTGTCTCCTGGTAATTCACCTCTCCTAGTTCTCTACTGCCGTAACCAGATCTTTGGGTCCTGTCACTGGATGTAACCAACGCCTTTATCCACTGTGCCATCTGTGTATGAATTTCTGGGACTTATAGACATAATGTCTTCAGCAACCATTTTACTAGTGCTCATATTGCAATTTTTGCTGTTATCATTGCATGTTTTTTACCAAAGCTCATATTGCAATTTTCATTGTTATTATTGTTTTTCTCTAGCACTGCGTATTACTGGTTCCCATATTGTATTCATTTCTCTGCTTGGCTGGCTAGGGAGTTTTTTGTGGCCTAGCATATGTTCTGATTCCTTATGTTTACGAATTTTCCTATGACGTTCTTTGCCTATGATTTCAACCTGATACCACAGAGCGCGGTGATCTCCATTTTCTCTCCATATGTGTTCAACCACGCCTGATTTTTCCACTTCCCCTCGTGTTACAGCTTTCTGGTGTTCTTGAAGCCTTACCTTGAGGGGGCGGCCTGTCTCTCCTTTATAGTTCTTTCCACAGCTGCATGGGATAACGTACACACAATCTTAACTCATGTTCTCCTCAATGGTGGGTCTTACTCGGGAGAGATATCTACGAAGTGTCGTCCAGCTTTTGAACGGTTGTCCTGATGTTATATGGACCACAGATACTTTGTATTTTCTCCGATAACCCCTTCACATAAGGCAGGCAGACGGTTTTCTGTGTGTTGTTGTCCTCCTCTTGTACCCGCCTATCCCAGTTTATTGGAACTGCTGCCATGTACCCAGGGTAGTTGTTACGTTGTAGTGTACTACTTATACAGACCAATTCTTTATCTAATGTCTCTGGGTCGCCACTTTTGTTCGGCGTTGCAAGCAGCTGACAGTTACAAATATACGCAGATACAGTAATGTCTAGCATTGGTTTTCTTTGGGCGTCCACTTCTTCCCATGTCACTAAATGTCTCTGGATTTAAAAAAAATAATCACAATAGCTGGTAGTGTGTACAGCTGCATTGCTACAACTTATTTTTACACTTATTACAGATTCAGAATTGCCTTCATAGCGTAAAACCAGAATTTAGGCCCTTCGTTAGGATTTTTTACCCATATTCTAAACTTAATTAACTACTTGTGCTAATGTGACTATGCCTAAACGTTTTTAATCAGAAATCATATGTGAAGGATGTTTGATGCAATAACAAAAATCTATTGCATCATACAATCTAATATGATACAAGGTCTTACCAAAAATCAAAAAAATAACCTTGTCACTGCTAAGAGGTTGTAACCTTATGTTAATATCTATAATGTATATTTAATTTAAGTATCGTCACCAATGTTTGATCTTCACATAATCCAGCTGGCGAAAAGTGTGAAATCATTCATATATTTAAGCCAAGTAGTTAACAATAAACATGAAATATATCAGAAGATAAAAAGGACTAGTTGAATTTTCAACAAAATAAGACATTCTAAAAAAGAACTTCATGTGAATAAAAAAGGAGTCTGTGGTGTACAATTAAGAAACATGAACACTGACAACACTGAGTAAATAAATAATATGGAAGAGTAGGGGTGTGCAGTCATTCAAAATGAGATGGAACAGGTTCTCGAAAGCGCGCTCTGTGAGCATACACTAGATGAACGCCTCTTTTTTCGCCTCATTCTTCTTCTTCCCCTCATCTTCTACTTCTTCGTCTTCGCCTCAGTCTTCTTCTTCACATCATTCTTCTTCTTCTTCGCCTCATTCTTCTTCGTCTTATTCCCCTTCCCCTCATCTTCTTCTTCTTCGCCTCATTCTTCTTCTTCGGCTCAGTCTTCTTCTTCACCTCGTTCTTCTTCTTCTTCGCCTCAGTCTTCTTCTTCACCTCATTGTTGTTGTTGTTGTTCTTCTTCTTCTTCTTCGCCTCAGTCTTCTTCTTCTTATTCGCCTCATTCTTCTTCTTCCTTACCTCATTCTTCTCCTCCTTTATCTTTTTCACCTCATCTTTCTTCTTCGTTGCCTCCTTTTTCGCCTCATTCTTTTTCTCTTTCTTTGCTTCATTCTCCTTCTTCTTCTTCTTCACTTCATTCTTGATCTTTTTTCTTTCTCACCTTCTTCTTCTTCATGTAATATTTTTCTTCTTCTTCGCCTCATTCTTCTTTTTTTTCGCATCATTCTTCTTTTTCTTCGACTCATTCTTCTTCTTCTTCTTCTTCTTCTTCTTCTTCTTCTTCTATATGCCGTATCCTTTAAGGACGTAGGTGATCATGGCTTTCCACAATTTTCTGTCCTCCGTAGATCTTAAAAGATTATGATCTTTTTGCTATCCTTCCTAAACGTTGTTCTGCCGTCCATTTACCCAAATTCACTAAGTAGATTACACGTTGTTCTACCCTGTCCCTCCTGTCTTCAATCTGTCCTGAGAGCATCAAATTTTCCAAGCCCTCTATTCTCATTATGTACCCTAGAAATGTCAACTGTCTCTTCATGATGTTAATGATAAGTTTCATTTTGTTTCCATTTATTCTAAAACTTCGTCGTTGCTCCCATGTTCATTCCATGACATTCTCAACATCTTCCTGTAGAACCACCTTTCTACTGCCTCAAGTCTCCTTTTCATCTGTTAGGAGAATGTCTAGCATTCACTGCCATATAGGAAGACTGATATTATTCAGTACTCTTTTGTTTCTAATGAAATTTTTCTATTTCTTAATAATTTGTTTAGCTTTTGGAACCATTATTATATTCTAAAACGTCTTTTATGTAAATCGACTGCGAAAGCTAAGATAGCCGGCCGCAAAATATGTCAGCCATTACAAATAACAGAACGGAAATGAGAAAGACCTTTGTTGACCGGAAGTGAATTAAGTATCTGAAGGAAATCGGAAAAAAAATAGTTAAAAAAATGAAAAGGTATCTGCCGAGGAGAAAAAAAAAAAAACAGACGAATGATATAGATTTTCAATTTTAATTAGAAACTTGATGTAAACATTAAATATATTCTAGTGAAGAAATATATAATATAAACTCGACTAATATCCACATCATGATTGTTTTTATTACAACGTTGTTGAATAATTTAAACTGGTTCTGATGAACCGGGGTAAATTTGTAGTTAAGTTTTGAAAAATATCCTAATTTCTAACAGCCCATAACAACATTTAAAGAAGTTCAAATGACTTGCGATCGACTTTAAACTTCGCGCTTCACGTTTAGATAACTTTCTATATGAATTATTACTTAATGGCAACTTAAAAGTTTATACCATAAGCTACAAGAGCTAAACATCGTTATTTCAACAATTAGGATAATTTATGACCTTCTGCTTCCTTGACCCGTGGAGTTGATTTGTCATACAAATATTAATGCCAAAAGTTTATGAACTCTCCTTTGATTCTTAAATAACAAATTGAAAGCTTAACACAACAGAAATATCGAGAGCTCTCCGCGAAAATATAATATCGTCTAATTAATTAATTAATTAATTAATTAAGCTTGTGAGATATTCAACAGTATTAACGCCTAGTGTCTTTACTGTTCAAAATAATAATAATAATAATAATAATAATAATAATAATAATAATAATGAACTTCGCTGAGCAAACTACGTTGGCGTTAAGAAAGGCAGTCAAATAAAATCAATTTATTATCCAGACGAATAATTTGAGTTCACAAGCGTTAAACAGAACATACCTTGTTAATTATAAACACTTTTGTAGCAAACATTCGGATTGGAAATCATATGAATGCCGGTAGAGAGAAGCAGGGGTCAAAGTAAGGCGAAGTCTGGCATATTGAGAAAGAGAGAAAGAAAGAGAGAGAGAGAGAAAGAGGGACAGACAGACAGAGAGAGGGGGAAGAGACAAAAAAAGAAAATGCATAAGGGTTCAAAGGTAATTGTACCTACTTCTTAAAACTTAAAGATTGGTATATTGCTGTGTGAGAAAGAGAGGGGAGGGCGAGAGGGGGTGCGCGCGAGAGAGAGAAAGAGACAAATACATAAGGGTTCAAAGACAATTGTACCTACTTTTTAAAACTTAAACATTGGCATATTGCTGTATGAGAGAGAAGGAAAGAGGGGAGGGCAAGAGAGAGAAAAATGCATAAGAATTCAAAGATAAATGTATATACTTCTTAAAACTTAACCATTGGCATATTGCTGTATAAAAGATAGATAGATAGATAGATAGATAGAGAGAGAGAGAGAGAGAGAGAGAGAGAGAGAGACATACATTAGGGTTCAAAGATAATTGTACCCACTCCTAAAAACTGAAGCATTGGTATATTGCTGTCTGAGAGAGAGAGAGAGAGACAGACAGACAGACAGACAGACAGACAGACAGACAGACAGAGAGAGAGAGAGAGAGAGAGAGAGAGAGAGCGAGGCTATGGTTAAAATATAATTGTTGGCTGATGGGTTGATTTTGTTTAGCGGTATACCAACACTACTATGGGTTATTTAATTACGAAATTTTGAACATAATTTTACGACTTCAACAAAATATATTTTGAACGCAATTATATGTCATTAACTACAGATAAAATGTATTGTTGATAATCTTACTATTAAAAATATATTTTTATACTTTCATCGTGTTTTGTTTTTGCTTGGGGTATTCACTATTTTCCCATAGCTGAGACACTAATAAGTGCTACCACCCCGCAAAGTTAATTTGTCCACTGCTTAAATATTAATGATTGACATATTACTGATATATATATATATATATATATATATATATATATATATATATATATATATATATATATATATATATATGCATTTATGTGTATTATTTATATATTATATATGCGCGGTACTTATTGGAAAGCGCTCAGTATTAGTGATAAAGCTAACTTATTTAGTTGCGTTGATGTGAGTTTCTGACTCTGGATTGCAAACCCTCATTTGTCGGAATGAAGGAAAATACATTACCAGCAATACAAATGTTGTCGGCATTAAAGAACCTATTGAGGTGTTGATATGCCGCAAAACAAACCAAACCAAACCAAACCAAACCAAACCAACATCTACAGACGTACAATTCCGTACGTTAACATCTCTTCGTGTTTGATATGTACTATAATTCAATACGAGAATTAATTTTCACCCACCTGAAAGAAAAAAAAAATGAAAAATATCCCTAGAGATGTTAGATATTGATATGGCACTTGATATTATTTTCGAATATTTTTCGATGGTACAACACTGTGCTATTTGACCAGGTGAACGGATTTTTGGTAAAATACAAATAAAAAAAAAAAATTTCATTGATCCTGACCTGGCAACACGGCTTCAGCCATTTTCCACCGCATTAATGTAGCTTCCCTGTGCCTTTTCTATATATATTTTCATGATAATTATTCTGGGGAGCTTTCCCTTTTGTTACCTAGACTTTACGAAGATTACTAGATTGGCGGTGAGGTCTTATCATTTTATACCTGAAATGGCTAAATGTAACCGTAACTTCTATGCTAAGAGGTTCTTCTATCGCACTTTTCGGAGATGGAGCTTTCTTCCTTGATCTTGTTTTCCGGTCATCTTTGACCGTAAAAATATAAATGCAATGTCAATCGCTATCTTCTGTTTTCTTAATTTCTGTCGGTTTAGTGTTCTTTCTCCTTATTAATACTTTCTTTTTCTCCTATTCCTTCACATTTCGGAAGCTTGCTGGGGGAAGGGATTATAAAAAGTGTCATGAGCTTCTTTTTTTGAGCCACACATCTATGAGAACAAATTGGGGTTTTTCTCGTCTTTTGTATGCCATTCAGAATCAATCATGGCTCTCCACAACTTTGTATACTTTGTGGCTCTTAGCAATTATTGTGTTTTTATCATAGTCCCCTCGCCGGTCTGCATGCAATTTCCACAAAATCTGTAGATAGGTTACTTGTTGTTTCCCCTCTCTTCCTTTTGCCTTCGTTACGGTCTTTGAGTGTCATGGTTCCAAAACCCCTGAAATTGTCTTTTTCTGATTTTAAATATAAACGTCCCTTTTGATTCCATGTTTTTTAAAATTGCTTCGTATATGAAATTTTGGCGTCTCCCCTTCATCTGCGATGAAATTTTCACTGCCATACATGTTTGATTGGTATGCTTTTTTCGATCTATAATAATCTTTGTGGGTTATTTAAAGCCAAAATGTATTCTGATTTGCAAGATTGAATATTGCATTAACACGTAGAATTACAATGATTTTATTCCAGACACGAGTTCTATTATTTAACCCATAGCTATGGGGATGATGCGGATTAATATCGATCTCAAGGGTATTTACTTTTAAGGAATTGGAATTGGAACCCGGCTCCCTGACTTCTCATGCCACAAGGAAGATATATATCATATAATTATATATCATATCATTATAGATCATATAATTGATATTGCATAACTTTTCAGAATTATTTTCTTTGTTTTTAACAAGATTATCCAGTTTTTCTTTTTAATACGGGGTGTCCCAAAAAATTTGACATAATTCCGTTGGCCAATAATTTTGGAAATTCTTGTTGAAATGACCTCAAATTTTTTCACAGATTGTATCGAAACAGATCGAGATTTTATATTTAATGTTTTATTTTTGTTCTGTTTTCAGGTTGAGCCATGCCATTCACTCCCAAAGAGAAGTCATTTTGCGTCTTGGAATATGCTCTCACATAGTCACCCAAGACTGTGCAGCGTGCTTACAATGCAAAATTTGGAAAAAAAAACTTCACTAACGGGCAAACAAATTTGGACTTGGTACCAAAAATTTAAAGAGGAAGGCTACTTATACAGGGATAAAGCATCTAGTAGAACATCATCAACATCAGCATATTTTTTTTGCAAGAGCTTAACTACAGACTTGACGGGTGCCGTGACACAGGCGGGGCACATATTGAACACTTATAAAATCAATCGCAAATAAACTTCTGAAGTTCGACACCTAAACTGTTCAATTTCACTGTTGTTTATAAAATCAACTTGTCATTCAACAGTGGTCAGTTGAAATATATTTTTTCAAGAGCAAAATGATGTCATTCGCAGACAGTGCCGTTTCGCTCTATCACAGTTCCTCAGTGCGACTAGACATCCGAATGCCTGAAGCCAGGATTAAAAACCAAACACAAAATGTCCCCAAAAATCTGACATCATTTCACAGGCCAATTGTTTTGGCAATTCTTTTTAAAATAACTTTAAATTTTCACAAAACTTATAGAAACAGATTAAGATTTTTTATTTAAAATTTTATTTTGTTATCTCATTGAGAATCTGCCAGAGAGATGGATAGGGCGTGGTCGATATGAAGACTAGCATTGATGAACTGAAGCAGAGAATCACTCCCGCACTGGATAATGTTACCGCAGGCATGCTAGAGCGTGTTTGGCAAGAGCTTAACTACCGACTTGACGGGTGCCGTGTCACAGGCGGTGCACATATTGAACACTTTTAAAATCGGTCCCATAATAAACTTATAATCTTCAACACCTAAACTATTCAATTTCAAGATAATTGCTTTTAAAATGATGTTAATTTTTTGGGGGACACCCTGAACTTTGTTTATTTTCTCGAAGGCATCGTTTTCTATTTCACTGTGCCTCTGGGTACTTTGTGGAGTAAAATTTATTTTGATTATATCGTTTCGTTTTTCGACAGTTGACATTTTCCAATAGAGCATAGCGAAAAAATCGGTGAATGTCCGACCATTTCGTGCGATCGTTTTTCCTCGGCAGTCTAGATTTGCACCCAACCAGACACCATTTCTATGCGTTGCAGATCTCTGCAGATTTACAAGCGGGCACCTTTTGATTATCCGGCTGCTGAAGCTATTATCTTGCCTCGCTACTTAAGGTAGGCTTACCATACGTCACTACCTGAGGGGAGGAAGCTCTCCAGCTGTCATAAGCTATCAGTATTCGTTTTTGTTTTGGGTGTATCAGCCCTGAAGCTTAAAGAAGTTGCCACCCACATAGACAACCACATTTTATTGTTCATGAAATCTAAAGGTATTATTCAAACTGAAAACTATACTAGTTTGAGCTTGATTTTTTTTTACTAAGTAATCACCCAATATAAGTCCCAAGAGTCACTCAAGGTAGGGGGTTACTGAGTCTGGTTGTATGGACATAAGAAGAGGATGGGTTGATTTGTTATTTTACGGCTTCTCAAACTTTTTCAAGTTATTAAAGCCAGAAAATATTTTTAAATTGTAAGAGATTTTTTTATGAGTTACTGATACAAATCCGATTATCTCATATTAATGCTTAACTTCCCATTTTTTTGAACAGTTAACATTAATGGGTCATAGATTAATGCCGGATTTTTTTCACCAACCTTTAATTCATGAGGTTTTTAGAAATTTGCTGGATTTTTATTTGAATTTTTATAATTAATGCCAGACTCTATGTTAGGAATGAATGGCTTAAAACCGTTTAATGAGTAACATGATCTTAACTTTAAAAGATAAAAAGTGTTTAGTATGGATTAAAGATATAAAACGAAATGATAACACATTCTAGAGGAATGACTATGTTATATGAATGTTGGTGTGGGAGGCACATAAAAAAAAGAGAGGATAATGCATGGAGCAAAAGGTTGGTAGATTTGTTCTCAATAGATAACAAACACAAAAAGAAGTTTCATGACAAGACTGAGAGATGGGAAAGAATGGTTTACTGGTATTTCATAGAAAATATGCATATATTCATCTGAGCAGTATTTAATAGTTAGGACATTTTTCCAGATACGTACTAGCCACCTTTTTCATGGTAAGCGTAACGTAGGCCGTCCTTGGTTACGCTTCAAGAATAAACCTAAATACAATTTAAATGCTGCAAACATTCCTACAGAGGAGTCCGAACATGCTGCTGAAAGCCGAGCAAACTAGAGAAACACTCGCTACGGAGGTATAACTAACTTTGAAAAGAATCGTCTCAATCATCAGAGAGAATTAAGAATTGGCACTAAATCTCCGGCTAATAAAACATCAGTCCCTAAGACGGTTAACACTTCAGTATGCCCTTCGTGTGGATTTCTTTGCAAATCCCGTGCAGTATTGTTGTCCCATACGAAACAGAAACTTAAGAACTGAACTGAAACACATTCATACTTTGGAAACATATATATATATATATATATATATATATATATATATATATATATATATATATATATATATGTGAAAATATATAGAAAATAGGAAGGAAACATGTTTTTGAAACATGAGACCCCTTATGTAGCGATTTGGAATCATATTTTTAAATAATATATATATATATATATATATATATATATATATATATATATATATATATGTATATATTAGCAACCTTTCTTTTAAACGTCTTTCGTTAAATATGACAGACGAGGAAATTTTTATTTTATTTAGGTTTTCCAGCGTTCTTACACT